GAATGCCCTGGGGTGGCTTACTGATCTCTAAATCCCGAGAAAAGTGCCTTTGAATTCAGCTCCCATGCAATAGCTAGTTTGTCTGTGCAGCCTGCCAAATGCCTATCCAGATTGACTCTTCAGAGATTCTTCCCAGCATCTCCCTGTCACTCCGTGCTTGGACCTGTGGCTGGTTTCCTGGAAACACTTGTGTATTTATTTGTAATTCCATGCCTCTTGGAGGCTCGGAGTATGTTTGTGTGTGAAAGGGGCTGAGAACAGAACCATCACTGCAAAAGCACAGGCAGGAGGCTGGAATTCTTTGTATTGTGTGACTTGTGTGTTTTATTAGGTTTTAAATAAGCCTCAGGAGGCTGTTGGATCAATTTAGTTTACTCCTTTACCTGGGCAATTTATATTTATGTAGCCAGTTCCTTAATCTGGCTAATGCTTCCTCTAGAGAATTGTGCACACACAGACTGCACTCTGCATGCCACGTGTGTGTTAGAAGCCTTAGGCGTAAGGAAGGCTAAGCTGGTATCTCATGCAAGCTGTGCAGTATAGCGTCCCTGATCCCCAACATGGTTTGTTGACTTAGATCAACTTCTGTAAACACACGTGCTTAATGAAACTCCATGCCATGGACCAATCTGGCAGGGACAGGACCACACACGTGCAAGTCGATCTTGGAGCAGAGCCCTGCTCCACTGACCGTCCCAACTTTCTATCTGTGTCCTCTGTCTAAAAACCCAGCCCCGGTGCCTGCCTAATGTCACTTTTCTGACCCCTCCTGGAGGCTAAGACTGTGCCCGCATTGTCTCCTCTTGGTGCTCCCACCAAATGACAAAGGGGTCCTGACTTCCAGCCACATGGAGGCACCCGCAGAACTGCCTGAGCCCCATTAGGGAGGAGACCAGCTGCATGTTTACAGGAGGTGAGGAGCTTTTCAAGAGGGATGCGGTTCTTGCCTTGATCCACAGGCCTGCCTGCTCTTCTGCATCAGTGGAGTATCTGCAGATTGCTGCTCCTCCATGCATCACTCTTCACAGACCCAGATATAGAGGCTGCTGAGGGCTGCAATCCTCCATGCCATGTCGTCTTATCTGTGCCAGGCTGGTAACAGGAACCCATTGCGGGCGTATTGTGCCAAGCGGGCCCAATTCTGCATAATAGCAGAAGGAAGTAGCATCTTACAAGGTAGCCCCTCTTCATGCCTGCATGGGCAGATGTTCTATAGTGGTGGGCTATGGGACACAGGAACGTATATCTGAAGGTATGTTTGCATTGCAGGTGAAATCTGTACTCCCCTTTAACTCTTTCATCCCCTTCTGGGGGGAAAAAAAAGTAGGAATTTTTACTGAGCTGTGTTAAGTTGAGGAAAATGAATTATTTACTTGCTGACTTGCTATATTTTAGCAAAAACAAAATATTGTGTAGCAACTGAAAAATGTATTTGTTTCAAGTGTTGAAAAGACTATTAAAGGGGAGGGTAGAAAGTCTTTTCTGCCTGATGCACTTCTGCAAATATCACCATCTTAAACTCCTTTCCAAGACAGTATCTCAAAAGCTGGGCCAAGCAAGACATGCCGCTTTCTCCTTTGTAATCTAATTGTTTTGGGGAAAAGAGTTTAAAAAATAAAAAAAAGTTAAAAAAAATTTCATCCAGATCTATTAAATATGGCCTTTTGGGGGTTATATGCATTATGACAAATTAGTCCTTTTTTGTATAAATCATAGTATTTTAATATGTATTTCCCAAAATAAATGTTTCAAATGCAAATGGAAAGAGGTTTATCTGGAAATGCTTGTGGTGGTTTGGTTTTTTTGTTTGTTTGGGGTTTTGAGACCTACACCCTCAGAAAGGCTGATCTTGTCTCAGATCATTTACTATGCAAGGGCATTCCTTCCCGAGGGCAAATTCAGGGGCTACAGGGATGGTGTTAGGGTCTCTGGAGGACGTGCTCTTTGAATTGCTGTGGGCCCAGTGCCACTGGCTTGGCCTATTTGGGGTGCCACTTATTAAATAAGACAAAAGAGCTCTTGTGGCCAATAAAGGATTCCTTTGCCTTTTTCAGCAAGTAAGGATATTGGGCCAGATCTGGGAAATAAGTGGAGATGTTGGATGCTGAACAGCCTTTAAAAAACTGTCCAGCCAGACACAGCATCCTAGCCAAATTCTGTGGGGTGACCAACCTCCCTCAGCACTTGTGTAATTCAACTGAGGTATTCTCATCGTTCCTGTGGCTGGTACTGTTCTAATAGAGGCTGCAGTTGAGGCAATACCAGGAGCCTTTACTGGACCAACACTCGTTATTAAAGACAAAGATGCTTCATTGAATATATTCAGCTTCACTAGTGGCCCATCAGTCCTGGTCCAGCATGTTCAGGTCATGCTGGAACCAAGCAGAAAAAGGTTATTAGGCTACGGGATCCAATGAACTGCACTATAAACCAGACAATACAAGGAAGGGGAATACTAATACAGCTGCTATGGTTTGCTTTCTAACTTACCTTTATAGCCTTGAGGGGACGGACTCCTACATTTTCACTGGGAGACAGGAGAATTTCTGTGATACCTAAGGAAAATACCTAAGCGTAGCCCAGCAAACCGAACCCCAAAAGAAACCCCAGTAGTTTTGTGCCTTCCGACAGTGAGTAGCCTGCCCCTAGAAAAAGCCCTGGTGTAGGAGGGAGGGGAAGAAAAGCAAGAATCTCGGTGGGGTGCAGGCAGCATAGTTGGAAGGAATTGAGGGCCGGGGAATCTCTGTGCCAGTGGGAGCCAGACAGGAAATACTCAAGAGACAGGTTCCTGAACAGAAACTGCAGTGTGAATGAAAAGATCATGGATGAGCCCGCTTTTTAGGCACACCATGAATTGGCTAGCATAAGTGTCTATGTTCCCTCAGACTCTTCTGCTGCCAGGACTGGTAGGAATAAGGACTGGCCTTGGAGAAGACCCTGAAGTCCTTGGCTGGTGGAACTAGAGATGGGAGGTTGGGAAAGCAGCTGGTTGGAACCCTGATGCTAGGAGTAGGACATGCAAGCCATTGACCAATCTGCAGGGGCAGGCCAAGGAGCAGTTGCTGATTGAGGGGGAGAGGCTGTACTGACCTGACAGCACTAAGTTGTGCTGAGATGGTTCTGGAATGCCACTTTCCCACTGTCTCACAACCAGCCATGAGCTAGGTAAATGCTGGTGGTATAAGAATGGCTGTACTGGGTCACACCAATGGTCCATCTAGCCCAGTGTCCTGTCACTAGCAGGGGCCAAAACAAGACCTTCAGGCTACATCTATACTGCAGGCTTCTTGCGCAAAAGCACGTCCACTCTGCCATGTGCTTTTGCACAAGAGCATCCATGGCAGTATGGACGGTCTCTTACACAAGAAAGCTCTGATGGCCATCTTAGCCATGTGGGTTTCTTGCGCAAGAAACACTTGCCTGTCCACACTTCCTTCTTGCACAAGAGGGCTTATTCCTCGTGGGGAGAGGAATAACTTGCACAAGAAGCCCTCTGTTCAGACGCCTTACTGTAAATTTACTTGTGCAAGAATGCGTGTGCAGTGTAGACACTCCGCAGTATAGACGTAGCCTCAGAGAGTGTAAAGAACAGGTAATTGAAGTAAGCCATCCCTTGGCTTCTCGCAGTTTCTGGTAGTCAGAGGTTTGAGTCACCCCAAGTATGGGATCACACCTCTTGGCATCTTGACTAATAGCCATTGCTGGACCCATCCTTCATTAACTTAGCTGGATCGTTTTTTAACCTGGTTTTACCTTTGGCCTCTCACCATCTCGTGGCGATGAGTTCCACAGGTTAATTGTGCTTTGTGTGAAAAAGAATTTCCTTGTGTTTGTATAAAGCCTGCTGCTACTAATGTCAGTAGGTAACACGCTGTGTCCCACCCCCAGGTTTTGAACTGTGGGAAAGGATAAATAACACTTGTTCCCACACCAACCATGAGTTTATAGACTTTGCTCATATTGCGCCCCTCCCTCCGATGAACAGCTCTAGTCTTTGTAGTCCCTTCTTGTAAGAAAGCTGTTCCATATGCTTGACCATCTTTGTTGCCCTTCTCCACGTACTTTCGCTTTTATGAGATGGAGCAGCTAGAACTAGATCTAGCACTCAAAGATGTGGAGGGGCATGATTTTTCCCAACCATCCTTTGCAATGAAAAATTATGCAGAGAATTCCTGCAATGGCACCTTTTATGCAATGTTTTTTTCTTTGTGGAGTGTGCTGTTAGCACCTCGATCATCCAGTGGTCTCGTTGCTGGATTGGTAGATTCCTGCTTCTCATGCCCTTACAAAACGTTACTGTTAGCTTTTGCATTTTTAGCAACTTGCTTTTCAAATTCTTTCTTGGCCTGCCAGCTTGTTCTTTTATACTTCAACTGACAATTTTGTGCACCTGTCTGATAGCCGCTCTACTGTCTCATTTTTAAAGTTTAAAGGATGAGTTTTTGTCTCTACTGGCCTCCTATACTTTTCTGTTCAGCCGTGGAGGCATTCTTTTGGTCCTCTTAGTGTTTTCTGATTTGGGGTGTACATTTAGTCTCAGTGTCTAGTATGGGCTTTTTAAACAGTGCCTGTGCTTCTTCCAGGTATTTAACCCTTGTGACGACAAGTTTTAATTTCCATCTAACGAACATCCTCATTTTTGCGTCATCCCCCTTTTTAAAATTAAATGTTACCGTGGAGGGGTTTCATGTTAGCCCCACTACAAGGATGTTAAATTTAATTACATTATAGTCTCATTGAGCAGTTCAGCTCAATTAACCTATTGGACCAGACCCTGTGCTCCACATGGGACTGACTCAAGAATTGCCTGTACCT